ATTGGTGATAATTATGAATTTTAAGCGATGGTAGAACTTTACAACTACGTGGAACCTTCAGCTACTTATGGATATGGTTCACATGGATCATGAGATAGTATACAGATAAGATTACTTTAAATCAGGAGTTTTGGCAAAATGAGATCTAGTTTTCAATGAGATAAGATCTATTGAAAAGTGGAGATTTTACCCTCTTTTAGTGTGAAAAGGGACAATCACCAAGACTTTTGTCTAGTCACTGTACTATGTGGAACTACTTATATTATTCAAATCTCAGGTTGATGTAGAGTACTCCAATACATGAAGTCAAGCTCTGAAGAAGTAGTAATGTTCAGTACTAGTGGCTAATACCGCTCCTCTGGTCCTATTTTAAGTTCCTAGGGTCATAGTCTAAGACTGACAGAGTACTACTGCTTTGAAGGGACACATTGTATCAGACATTTCTGGAGGCTCATAGGCCATGTAACCACAGTCCATTCTCCTGGAAATATATTAGTACAGGAGAATCATTATAGATACTAAGACACTCATTTAATCTAATACTAAGACTTACTTCAGGAAGTGTTGATATTGGGTAGTGCTTATTGGTAGTAAACCTCTATGGGTGTCATGAACGTGGCTTAGCGAGGAAAGGGTTTTTCACGTGACACATGGTTATGAGTCACAGGTATGTTATTGTTTCACGCATATGACCTATTCGGGTTATATGATTGGTTATGTGTGGGATTTGTGATGCTTTCGCACATGGCTCAAGTATGAGTCATGGGACATGCGCCTGACGAGTATGCCTTACGAGTGTGCCTTACAGGCAAGCCTTGCACATATGATTTATGTTTCACACATGACCTCATCACGATGTCATGGGTTTCGTGCATATGACTCAGTCGAGTCATATGACTTGTTTATTGCGTTATGATTGGTTTATGAGTTTCGCACATGACCTTGCTATGAGGTCATGGGTTTTGAGCATGATCACTTTGGTCATATGATTAGTTTGTTATGATTTAGTTTCGCACATGTGACCACTTTAGGTCACATGACTAAAGGCGGGAAGAACACTATATAAGGAGGCCGATGCGGCCGAGGAAGATAGGTTCTTCATGCTTTGTTCTAAGTACTTTTCCTATTTATTACTTTAACGAATATAAAACGCCCTTACGATCTTTACCTTTATTGCAACGTTATCATTACGCCAAGAAAAGAGCTTTACGAAGAAGAGTTAAAGAAAGCTTACGATAGGCGTTACCGGTAGAAGACAAGGGTCTTGTACTATCGGTAACGTAGGCAGAAGCCTAGAGCTATCGTAAGACAAAGAGAAGAAGAAAGACAGGAAGAGAAGTATCGTTCCCCGTCGCCAAACATTAACTATCCAAAGAGGGATCGTTACAATGGGTGTCTATTATGTGAGCAACCTGGCCATCATCTGGAATAATATAGAATGGAATAAAAGCCAATACATGTTTAAGAGCTGTAGATCCTTGTAAAAGACTAAGCGGAAATAGATAGAGTGTTACATAGTTGGCAAAGCATTGGTATGGACATAATAGCTCACTACTAACAGATCTGGATTTTGAAGGGTTTTTACTACTCTGCTTGCATGGCAGTTGAAGAGATTAAAATACTTCTATACAGTAGATATTAGGAAACCACAGAGTTGTTTAGTTTGCTACATGAGATCTTTGGTCTGACCAGTCCCAGTTGACTAGAGAGACCATGTGAGTTGAGTAGGCGCAAATTTAGCATAGTGATATGTAGATTTTTTTAATTTTTATTTATGTAATATAATTTATTGTTAAGGTACAAGAATCCCCCATATAGTGTAAGATATGGTAAAAAGAAAACCTTAATTCCAAGAAAACCAACAAAAGAAAACCTTGGCTCTTATTCCTCTTCTTCCAATATCTTGGGAGAAAATTACCAGTGAGAAGCTATGTCAAAACCTACACAAATAAAAGTATACCAAGTAACAGAACTCCATTACTTGAGTGCTGAGAGGAAGGAAACAACCACCAGTATTATCTAACTCTGATTATCATTGTAAGTGGAGTGGAGAATATGTGGGTTACCCAAGAGTGAAAAGATAAGAATACAAGGCCTAGGAATTGACCATATCTACCATATTATGATTCTCAACAGGCTCTGGAACAGCTTTATGGTGTTGGGGGCAGGTGGAGCAGGCAGGAAAGAGGAACTCATGAGGGCCATCACAGTTGATATGTCTCAGAGTAGAGTGTGTACATGGGTGGCTGCAGAGGCAACAGGCATCAGTGGAGCAGGCATAGTCCCCTGTAGCATGTGGAAGCGTGTACCACCTACAAGCAGGTAAAGTGCACAGGTTATCATGTTGTCCAAAGCCATGGTAGTTGAACCACTGGATCTAAGAGTTGAAACACAGAGAGCCTTCAGTTGTGAAGGTAAAGGAGAGGGCAGCTAGTATCTTGTCAATAAAGAGAGAGGTAACAGGGAGCAGTAAAGGAGATGACAATGCAGGAGGCAGATTTGTCATGCCTTGCATCGTCAGAGGTGAACTACCAGTATTGGTGAGTGAGAGCACAAATAGAGTTAAAAGTAGTTAGTTCTGTTACAATAGTGGCAAATGAGTAAGAGGTAGGAGGTTGGCCAGGGTAGGCTTAGTAGTCAGTGCAGTTACAGATACTTGTCTTGAAAAAGCAATATTCTGGTGGTCTTTCAATTCATCTGTAAGGCTGTTGACTTGCTGTGGCAGACCATTAACTGCTTTCCTGTATTTGTCATATACATGTTGTAGCATCTTGTAAAAGATAATGATGTATAGTTGGGGGTCTCAAAAATAGATGACATGGTAGACTGGTTGCCAAAGGGGGCAAACCTCATTATGAGTGGAGTTGGTGTCTTGTGGGAAGGCAGAGTGGTATTACTTCCTACGCCTTTTCCTTTCATTTTACCAGGAGCTTTGATGGGATAAAAAAAGTCTTTGTCCTTATACGAGGGACCATGGCAAGGCAGTGAGATCAGGTTTTCTGCCAATGAGAATGAGTTATGGTGAACAATTAGGTGAGGTTTTTTCTTTGACTGTGGTTGTAATGGAGACATTGCTATAGGGGAGCAATAACCTCTTGCAGTATATGATACATCAGTTGAGTTTGAGATATTTCTTTACTGAGATCAGGCTAGTAGTTATTTGATAGATGTTTGTGATAATCCAGCTGCTCAATCTGAATTTGTATCTTCTTCTATATCTTGTAACTCAATTGTAAGAAATGCTGATGGATTACTTGCAATCAAACTATTGTAACTTAAACAATAATAATCATAGCTTCACTAGACCATAATGACCATTATCTGCAAGCAGGCAGAATACTTGACTTGGCTGAACAAGATTAGTGGGACCATGATGAATGATTACCCTGAACCAAATAGGCCGATTGAGACTACCAGAAAGTAGAATTAGCAACACTTAAGCAGATTGGCCTTGTAAAGAATACAGAAGTACTACTTACTTTCTCTAGGTTATATAGACCTTCTCATAGCAAGTGTACAAGGAGAAAGCAAAACAAGCTTTATGGTACATGATCTTCACTATAGCAGAATACTTAGGTTTCCCAACTATAACTGATGCTAGTAGGAGTGTAACCATCTTTTAATTGAAGAAAATGGATATGTACTAGATATTTAATCAGTTGGGGGGATGGCTGTTTGATAAAAGCATAGTTGTACCTTACAATACCAATTCAAAGTTTCTAGCAGCAAGAAAACTTTCACTACACAGAATTTCTCTTATGAAAAATGTATAAAAACACTTAATATTATATGATATAGGATATAACAGTTAACATGAAAAATAAATCGCTTAAAATAAAAGAAATAAGTCAAATATCAAAGATAACTTGATGGCTGATAAGTGGTACATTCATTCATAGTAGATTTGTTGAGCCTCATACTATTTAAATAAGATTTCTCACAGTTAAAATAATACCATAGCAGGTAATTTGCAATGTAAAAAAAGTACGAAAAAGAAAAACTTCACAATGTCATAACAATATGACAAGGTAACATGAATGAATGAATTACCCAAAATATGTGATATGTAATAAAATTGATGACAAATTGCTAGCAGGTAAATTACTTCATGATTCATATCAGAAAAGTTTAGACTTAAATGGTCAAGTCAAGATCCCAGACAGTTATACCATTGAAGATGAAAGTAATTTGAAAGATAAAATATGTATTAGAGAAGGAAAAACTTCCTATTACTTTGAGAAAAGGGTAAATTAAAAAAAATTGTTTAAATGTCAAAATCTGATTTGAGATAGAAATTGATTATAAGTCAAAAGGAAATTTGTAAAGTGAAAAATATATTAAAGATAGAAAAAACTACCTATCATATGGAGAAAAGAATAAAGTAAAGAAAGAATTACTTAAAATGTGATAAATTAGTAGTAGATAAAAGCCTATTTGTTCATGCAAGAGGAATTGAGCTTCAAATTACCAAGACCAGCTTCCTGATAGTCAGAATATTGCTACTGAATATAATTTACAAGGAGAAACATATAGTAAAACAAATAAACCATTCATTATTATAAGAAAAGGATAAACCAAAGAAAGAATTACTTTAAATGTGAGATATAAGATCAAAGTTAATCATGAATTGTTAGCAGGAAAAAAGTTGTTTTATTCATGCACGATGCACCGAGCCCCAAATTCCCAAGACAAGACCCCTGACGGTCAGAACTTTGCCATCAAGGACAATTTGTAGTATAATAAAAGTATTAAAAAGAAAGAAAAAAAATAACATTATCTTGGTTTTTATTCTAAGGTGTAATATGTGAGGCTGTATTTTTAATCCATCGCACAAATATACACATATTACGGGATAGCATTTGACCCTATTACCTTTATCCTTATTATTGTAAGAATGCCAAACCCTTAACTAAACACCAGCACATATCCATAGTAACCGCAGTTGCACCCAACAACCAACCAGTCAACCATCTACCTCAACCAGCCAATACATATACTGAATTATCTCTTATACAAATCAGAGACAAATTACAGTGATACAAGACAACCCTCTAGGATCGAGGAGGGCATCTAGTAGAATTCTGTACTCTTGGTTACACCAGTACCGTACTTGTAGCCCTTGCAGGAGCCGCAGCTACAGCCCAATGACTACCCCTACAATTCCGCAGGAACCATTCCCAATTTACCTTGTCAGCTCCAGCTACCTCCTCTACGACGCCACTGGTATCTCCCTCCCCTCCCCCATCTCCCGCACCACTAACTTTTCCAGTAATTTCCCACGTCCGCCGCACACACCGAATGTCCGGCTGCCTGACTGGCACCCTCCCACAGATCCCACAACAAAACATATTCCTTGGCCTACCTTTAGAGCTAATGATCGAGGAGGCGCTGCTTCTTGTTGATAAAGGCGCCGGATACATTGTTGACGACGTACACGTTCACGAGCACGGCCTGCGGGACATGCTAGAAGTGGATAAACATCAATTTTTGGAAGAGCGAGAGGAAGGTCAGAGGAGGGGTGTAGAGGAGTATGTCAGGAAGGTGCAGGAGAAGAGGGGTGTTTTTGTTCAGGGTCGGGGTAACGATGAGGGGGGAGGGGTGGATGGTGGTGGGCAAGGGACTGAAGGCGGACGGGGCGATGTGGCCGAGGGGGAAACGGTGTTCGAGAATTCATCGGTATCAAACTCGAGACCGGCTGCTACGACAGCTGTACCAGCTCCAACAGCTGCGAATGCGGTCATGTACTATCCTACGCCGGCAATCTCCCATCCGATATACCACCGCCCTCCAGTTCCCTGGGATATACGGACGGCGCCGCTGCGACCACAAAGAACGCAGGGATATCCGCTCTACAAGCACCTTCATGAGAGGGGATACTTCCTCTCGCCTGGGCTCAGGTTCGGGTGTCAGTATATGGCGTACCCTGGAGATCCGCTACGATTCCACTCGCACTTCGTCGTTAATGGTCTGGGATGGGATGAAGAGATTGAAATGCGGGACGTGGTTGGCGGGGGGCGATTGGGGACTGGGGTTAAGAAGGCGTGGATGATTGGGGGGGAAGATGGGACGGGGGAGGTTAGGACGTTTTGTGTGGAGTGGGGTGGGTTTTAGAAGGGGTGTTATAGGGGAGCTTGGATGTGGGGGTGGCCTTTCGGAAGTCATCGTATATGGCAATAGAGATGAGGGAGGTTCGGTGTTATGGTGATAAGATAACTAGTTATTTGTAACGGAGAATCCAAAGCAAGTAACTTTTCTGTGCAGCATAATTATACAACATATTTCCGTCCAATCTCATTCCCCCCCTTTATTAGACTGGCAATGGAAACCATCCACAGGTGGGTCACAGCGGCTATAAACTTAATCAGCTCTCCTCCTGTCATATTGAATAATTCGTAGAAGTCAAAACTCACCTTAAACCTCCTCAAATTCTTCCTGTCAGCAACTCTCTTCTTATCCTCCTCAAACTTCTTCAGTAACTCCATCTGCCGGTTCTTCCTCTCTTGGCGCACCTGGAATCTGTAAAACCCTTCATGCTTATCCTTCCCCTTCTTCTCAAGTACTGCATTCGCCTCCTCCTGTCGAGCCGGTGCCGTTCTCCCTCCTCGAACGACAGTGATGAATCCGTCATCGTCGGGCTCCCGTCTGCGCTTTGCAAGCGCGCGGAGTCTAACTCTCTCCTCCGCTTCGAAGGCAGCTATGAATGTGTTTACCGAGGCTTGTAGGTGGGTTTTAGAAGGGTGTGTTAGGTTATGATGTGCCAGGTAGCCTGGGCACGATCACATCAGTGAGTGTAAAGTGTGAGAGTGAGAAAGAGAACGAGAGGGTGAATACGTGGTATCCCGAGCGCAGGTATATTCACCCCCTCGCTAATCCCATCACCCCAAACCACTCTCGTCTTGGAGAGCTTTCTGGCGGTTTTCATGGACACGTCCATACTCGGCTTATCCACGAAGACAACTACAGCTGTACTCCCGCTTTTACACAATTGTCTATCCCATACTTCCCCTCCATCTCCGACTTCATGCGCAAGGTGACGCTTCCGCTTCCCAATCCCACATGTAGCTCCTCTGTCCCCATCGAAAACCACTTTCTCCACCCGCCCACCACCGATCCCGGTGAATAGCGCACGGAGGTGTGCAGTCGTGGCGTCAACGGGGACGTTCACGACGAATAATGAGCGCGGGTCGTGTGGCGCAGGCTGCTTGGGGGCGTGCCTGCGCAGGTAGAGGTAGTGCGTGGCAGCTCCGACGAGGAGCGTGGCCGGGAGAGTTATTGGTAGGATGGTATAGTCGGGGATTTGTGCAGGCGGGCTCATTTTTTGTGGTATTAATGAAAGAGGAGGTGATACAGGAGTTGAATCGTGGTAAGGGTAGTGGGATAAATTAAATGCATGTTTGTAACTCGCCAAGGCTGTGCCCTAAATTGTCCGAATGCCACTTTCTACCTTACGGAGGTCCAGCGCCTAAGTTTTGTATGTTACACTCGCAGTGGGCATTGTGTGAGCAACTGGTGTAACATACAAAACTTAGGAGCTGTACCTCCGTAGAGCCTGTTTGTCGGCAACTGTTCATTCCGTTAGCCCATACAAATTACTGTTCCCTTCCTTTCCAGAATGGGAGAAAGGAATTGGAAGATGAAAGCAGAGCTGGTTGCCTCTTAGAGATGTCATGTGACATTGAATATTCTTTTCATTCTTTTTCCCAGCAAAAATTATATGGCTGTAAAAATATCTCATAAAATATAAGACCGATATACGGCCTGCAGGCTGTCAGTATTAAATTTTAGAAACCAATAATCTACCGTGGAGCACTTTCAATAGGTATCGGGAAAAATCTAAGAGATTTGATACATAGAAAAACAATTCACACAAGACTCGTAAGAGATTAGTTCCAAATATTCAGGTCATGTCAATCTAGTAGATATCTAATAAACTGATTAAAGGTTTCAGAGTAGTAATATACAATGATATGGTCACTATTAATTAAAGAACATACAGTGTAAACAAGAAATCAAATAGCCTATAGAATGGATATTTGGTATTAAAATACAAGAACTTATAGTTTCATTCTATTGCTCCGTAATGGATGTGATCTTTTATTTCATGACTTTAGAACTTTAGTCATAGAGTACCTTTCTGGTAATTACAATGTAGCTGATCCAGGTCAACAAATTACGGCAACTGAGAAAGAAATCCCCCAGCCATATATTAACACCACATTCTCTATAGATCTTGTACTCTCATCAAGGACCTAGGAATATATGAAGTGTTCTCATGCAATCACTTACTTAGTCTCTTACCCATGAAAATTATCAAAATATTATCTGTTAGCTATGATGTGACATTCTATGGTGATTCCTGATTTTGTCTGACATAATATCTCGTATTTAGATAAGATCTGAATACAGGAACCTATACATTATCTAAAGTAATATTTTGGGTTTGGTATATCGGATGCGTCAGATGGATGGAATGAGATAAGCATAAACTCTTATTCTGGATGCAAAGACCCAGACCCAAAGGGTCAGGACAAGGCCAGTGTCCATCTTGACGCATCTGATACAGTCTAATACTGACAATGAACTTGGATGCAGAGTATGTATGACCTAGTCTACTGGATGCTACTAAATTTTCTCTTGATATTTCAGAAGAATTAACCTGGAGTTAAACATATAAAATATCTTTAGACAAAATCTTAATTTAATTGCCAAATTGTGCATTCCAGCTACTTATGTCAGAAAGAATAATAGTTTTATGATTCTTAATAAGATATATTATATAAGAAAAATGTGAATTAAAAAGTTTATTAAGAATCTATGGAAAATAGTCAAGTACGAATAAAAGAAGTCAGGAAGCAGATAAACTCTATTCCCAGTAGTCATATTAGGATAGAGGGTAGCTCATGAGGATGGCATTGTTGAGCTCAATTGAATGGTAAGTGGCCCTCATATAGGCGATACTGTAGTCCAAGTTAGCTTTCCAGATAAAAATACCTGCTCTCCAACAGCAAGAGTTAGAAACATCATTAACTTCACAACTAGGTATTGGATATGGAGGTAATATAGCTCATTCGAATACACTAGCAGAGCTGAATCGAATGGTATATTCTCCGTAGACTCACTGTACCTGTAGACCAAGTTAGTTTTCCTGATGACAAAATCAACTTGCAGACAGTGAAAGTCAGGAAGATGATTAACTTTACAATAAGAGGTCAGATTTGGATCTGCTTTTGCTCATTAGAATACTCTGATTATGCTGAAGTGAATGATATATGCCTCTGAGATTTGTGACGTATATAATAAATATCAGTTTAGGGTAGGAAGTAGGAGTATAGTTGTGGAAGTAGTAGTGAGAAACATGTTATTGTCTGTGGTTCAATTTAAGTCCACACTAGAGAACACATTAAAAATAGACGGACAAAAATTCTGATGCAAATTCCCCTATGTACAATTCTTCACATGGATTCCAAGATTCCTAGTCCAGGCTAAAGGGATTGGATGCATGGAACAAATGTGTATTTCCTCACATATTATCAGAAGTGAGAATATTCCTTACCAGTTGTGGAAGGATGTAGGATTTACAAGAGTACTGTCAGTACCATTACAATACAAATTACCCTAGTTGTTAACTTCTGGATGAATGGGATGTAGGGGATGTATGGGACAGATACTATCATTTGAATGCAAATACCTTTTGTCTAATGTAAATGTTATTTTTACTGATGTATGCTGTATGTCCTTACAATGTCAGAGCCTCTACCAATTTATTCAAATATTATCTGATTCTAGTCCTTTATATCAAATTGATATCTGACCTTAGGTAGTCTGCTGTTGATATCTTTAGCATCTCACTTGCGCTATGATAATATTTATAGCTCACTGCCTACAACCTGATATTTTGCTGCTTAGTTTATCGCATATAGGTGATAGCTAATCTTCTTCTACTATATTCTAATATACACTAACTTACCATTTTTTTTCTGGTATCATACCATCTCAAGATTCCACATTCAGGTTCTATCAATTGCTTTTTTTTCTCTGGTCTGATACATACTCACTATACCTTCAAATCTAGGTATGTACTTGACTGGGTTATCAGATATCATTAGCAAAATGCTAGATCTGGATATATTTATAATACCCTTATGAGCAAAACCTTTATCCTATGTCCTGTACTTCCGGTAAGTCTGATGCTCAGTAAGAGCAAAATAAAAAATTTCAATCTGTTTATATATACCTAGATGTATCAGATCGTACCCAAGGGACCATTACTAGTAACTATTTACTATACTTGTTGATTTTGGTACAATTACTCCCAGTATATGCAGACTGTTAGTTCCTGTTATTGACATGTACCTCCCACCAATCAACCTTCTTTAGAGTCTTCTTGATATCTGCTCTTGCTAGTCTGTTACTTTTCTATGCTAGCTAGTTTCATCTGTGCTACTTCTCTATTCTGTACCATATTCTCTTTTTTTGTCTGGTAGTCCTCTCATGACTCCCTGATCTTACTCTCATTCTCCAATATATTGTCTTGATCTTTCTATTCTACTTTGTATTTCTGTGTCAAGCTAATATATTTACAGAATCACCTCTCATCATTCGCATAACGTCTCTATTGACTAGTTGCTTTGTTCTTCCATCTGCATGATGGAGTAATTTCAATAGTATGGTATGTGGCCTCATAGTATGATGGGAGTTTTTCCCTATTAGGTAGTTGACCAAGATCTTACCCTCATAATATGTGCTTCTTAGACACCCATCTCATTCTCTATTTAGTAACAGGGATTTTCCCTCTACTAGAACACAATCATTATCTTTCTCCTCTCACACTATCGACTATGTACTATATTGACATCCTCCCATAGGATCACCATGACCTGTCCTCTGCTAGCTGACCTGCACCATCAGGTTATAAACCCTCCTAAGCACACAGATATTAACTCCTAGTTAACAAAAAGAGAGGACTCTTCTCACTAGAACTTCACACCTACAATCTTGAGCACTCTATCCTACAATAGATGAACAAGACAGTTCATTATGCCTGGTGGAAATAAGTTTTGAAAAACTTAATAGTACCAATTATCAAGACTGTGTGATATGCCTGAAATCCCTTCTCCATTAGGAAAGCCTTAGGGACTTCACTATTGATAATGAGGTGATAATTAGAAAACCTAATCCGGACTCCACAGATGGAGACTATGAAAGGAAACTTGATTGATACCAGGTTCAAAGAAAGTGAATATAGAAAGTAGTTGTAATAATTTGTCTTAGAATATCGGATAAGATTTCAGAGAACTCTAATGATAATATTTGGTCTACTTCAGTAAAGATCTAGAAGGACATTAATAAGAGATATAAGATAGCACTAGTATATAATGCCAAGTACCTACTTATGTTGTAGTAGCGAACAAGGCCGTGTTCTA